GAGTGATTCTAAGCCAGGAAAGGCAACAACAAAGCCTCCGTGACAAATTTTTCTATTTATTGGATTGCAAGGATGCCAGAAGAGACACGCTCCATGGCCAGCTGAAGCGCATCCTTCCTACAGCCTCTCATCTTGCAAAAGTCAACCCCCAACTTAAAACCCTTTTTAAAGCAAGCGAAGGCAGCAGCTCTGCACCATGCCAGACCTCTCTGCTGGCAATAACGGCTCTAGGTGGGACCGGGGGCTTTCCGACACCGCTGGAGCCACGCAGAGGGGACGGTGCCCTCTCCCCACGGCTCCCCATCCCACCCCAGCCCCGGCTGGCACCAAGGAGCCGGTGTGTGATCACAGCTTGGGTGCACAGCTCAGGAGGTGGGAGACCGGCAGCTCATTAACCGTGGCTTTGCTAGCCATAAAACCAGACGTGGAAAGGCTCCGTAGGTAGAAAGGCTGAGCGTGCACTTCCACGGGACACTCCTCGGAGCAAGGCCCGCTTCCCCGCAGCCACAGACCAGAGACACTATCCCTGCCAGTTCGCTCCAGCCAGTTTTCCTCACCAGCTATTTAGTTAATGAATTTGAACAGCAGAACGGTGGAGATGGATTTGGCCCAACATCACCACATTCTTGGCAACGGCTGTCTTATCTAGGGACAGGAGTGGCCAAGTCCTCCCTGGTGTGGTCGGGCACAAGTCCATCATCATTTATATCAGCAACGCTGTGGCAATTTGCATTCCCCAAAACGTAGTCCAAGCTCTCCCTTTGGCTCCTACGTTCAGATTGCAAGAGTATTTCAAAGACCTCTTCTGAAGGGATTCTACACCTCAAGGCATCAATCCTTCATTCTTCTGCTTATTAAGGAAAGATTTGTCTTAAAACATCAGAAAACAAAGCCTGGAGACGCACATCCAAGTGCTGCTGGCCAGGGAGCCATAGTTCAGAGGAGCATCACCACCTCGTGCCCTGTGACCCCTGCCACACCACAGCACAGAAGGCTGAAGAGAAATGTAAATGCCTAAAATTTGAGCCAGAAACACAGGAACTGGCAACTCAGACACTCCCACAGCTCACAGCACTATATAGGGAAAGGATCAACTCCTCAAGCATGGACAGGCAGGGTAAGGGGGAGAAGAATCATACACCAGATTTGAGAAAAAAAAAAAAAAAAAAAAAAAAAAAGAAAACCTGACATATTTCACTCCTGCTGAGAAATTGATGCTGCAGTTTGCTTCTGGGTTCAGAGAAGAAGGCAAAAGATAAGAGCGCAATGCATCTCTGGAGATGGGGAGAAGGATTGTTGCTGCATTTCAGAGAGGTGAGAGGCAAGTGAAGATGGGCTCAGTGTTTTGATTGCCATGGAGATTTCACTTAGAAACCATTTTTCCTGCCACATCCCTGCTCAGCAGCGAGAGCTGAGCAGGTCCGCCCCGGGAGCTCCACCCTGGGGGGGTGGGTGGGCTGGACCCCACGGGTGCACAACCACAGCACTGTCTGTGAGCACAGAGACCACCCCGGCGAGACCCCGGCCCGCATCAGGGAAGCTGGGTGGTTCAGAGGGATCTGTCGATCCACAGGAGCAAACATTTGGGAACCAACTGCAGCCTCTCAGGGCCAGGAAAAGCCCCTTCCCCGCCCCCCAGGAGAGGTGCCCCAGGGCCAGCCCTGCGCCCCAGCCTGCGCCAGACCCCTGCAGAACCGCCTCCCCTCTGGAAACCTCCCTGTGCTCCGGCCGTCCTTTGGAGGATGGAGACAAGGGGCCGAGGGCTGGGCCCTGTGCTGGTCCCTCTGCGTCGCACCACGCAGGGCGATGCCCCCTTTGCCCACCCACGAACGGGCGCGGATGCTGCTCCTCACAACCAGCCAGTTCTGGGACTACGGGGTTTCTCCGAGGCTGGATGGGATCTTGGAGATCACCTTGTCCAGCCCCTGCTTGGGTTTTGAGCCCCTCCAGGGGATGTGGCCCCAACGCGGGCACCACCACGTGCTGTCACCATGGAGGGCTCGAAGAGAGGGAGGAAACAGCCACGGGGCCAAAACCACCACTGCGCTGTCCTCTGACACCCAAGCTCCTGTGACTCCCGACCGACCACCCCCTCCAGAGCCCCCTCCTGCACAGCACACACCCCTTCCCCCCTGCAGCGGGCGCTGCTCCAGAGCCCCCAGCACCCGGCAGCGTGGCAGCAGTGCCTGTGCATCCCCCACCAACACCTCAACCATGTCACTGCTTCCCTCTGCAGCACAGAAGGATTTTGCCTGCTGGGTTCCCCCAGCTCCCGTTGTTCAGGGATCCCCAACCCAGGAGCTGATCCCACCATCCCCATCCACGGATCCCACGCTGGGTGAAACTACATTCTTCTGTTTTCCGTTCTTGGACAGAAACTTGCCCCTTTCTCCTCTGAGCCAGCTCTCCTTGCAGCCACTGATGCAGGACTCTAAGAGCAATTTTGCAGAGTTTTAAGCAATTACACTTCAGGCAGAAGCCACTGAAGCCTTTCAGCTGAAGAGTCATGAAAATGCCAAGTAATAGATCTCCTTGGATGAGGTCACATCTGAGATCTAAAACAGTTCTTTGCCAATGAAGAGAGATTGTGCCAATGGTTCTGAAAATAAAAAGGAATTGCAAAATTCCTAGAAAGAGGGTCTTTAGATTAATACAGTTATTTCAATCAGAAAAATAATTTCTCTAATCATAGTGATCAAATTCCATTCTATTTTTTTAAATGGTGGGAGGCCTGTATGTTCCCTCCTACCCCACATACAACACGTTTCCTCTACAGAGATTGTTTCCTGAGTCTTTTAAGACATGCATCCTTACATTACCCGTATTTAGCTTATTCCTGCCCAGCGCAGGCCGTGCCCACGGGCTGGTGGCTGCTGTTGCTGCAGCGCTGACCACACTCTGCATCCTGGGCTTGGGAATCACTCCTGGGCATCTAAGGATGGACAAACACTGCCATTCCCAAACACACCCAGCAGGTTAACTCACTTTTGGGTCCAAGCTGGTGTTTTCTGCCCGTGGCCAGGAGCAGGTACTGTACTCGGTGGTGAAAAGCAATGCTGTGGCCACATGCAGCTCTTGCAGCAGTGGAAAAGTTTCACATTCAGTAACAGCGGTCAAGAGGAGTAAGATGCCAAGTAAAAAAGGGGGCACAGGGAGTGAAGCAAAACACGATGGAGATGTCCACCCTGGGGCTGTGCCTGTCCCCTCTTGCTCTGCTTTGCTGGCTGTCCCCCAGGCACACGCTCGCTTTGCTGCCCTCCACCAGATCCAGCCCAGCCTCACCAGATCACCTCCTCCTCCTCCTCCCCGCCGTGCTCCAGGTCCAGCTCCATCCAGAGCTGTGGTTCAGCCTCATGTTCCTACAGGACCTGCACCACCAACGCCCCAGCATGCCACGAACCCCCCAAAACCTTCTTTCACAAGGCCTGGGGATGGTTTCCACCTCCAGCTGGAGAAATGCGAGGACCCACCTCCACACGCAGACCCATTACACAACATCATTTGCTTGAGCAGCAAATTTTGTGAGTGTTGGTTTTTTTTTTTTTTTTTTCATGCACAGGAACCATTTCCTCCCTGTAACACCAAACCCCTGAAAGGCTCCATCTTCTCCAGCAGCCGTGAGGTCTGTCGCCCACGCTGGCCACATCTAGGTGAGGAGCTGGGCAAAAAGGGGCTGCAGCAGCCCCTGACCCCTCTGCGAGGGAGAGCTCCTGAGCACGAACACGAGCAGGCTGATCCCGAAAGGCAGCCGAGGATCTGCAGTGCCCTGGCTCAAAAAGAACAGTGTTAAACCGGCACGGGGTGCAGCGCCTATCGCACTAACACCGTGATCTTTTACATCTCCTACACAAATGAATCATCAACTGACATTTAAAAACCAGCAGTACGTGTCGGTTAATCATAGCGAGAGGGAGCTGCTGGCTAGCAGGGAATATCCCATGTTAAACCCAAGGGAGCATTTCTTCAAAGAAATTAAAATAAAATTGCCAGTTGATTGAAACTCTCCCCCAGAGCAATATCCCCACACCAAGGAGAAGCCCTATGGACCCCCCGCTGCAGAAAGCTGAACCCTAAAGCACCTGCTGAAGATTGCAGCTCAGCAGCCTCGGGTGAGCAAATATAGCAGAACCCGAACAGGAGCACGTTGGTGCTGTTGGTTTACAGGGGACTTTCTAAGTGAAAAAGCTGCTCCCCAGGCCAGATCTCATCTCTCAGTGCTGCAGAGCTCTTGTTCCTGAGCAAAACCCCCACTTCCGCAGCAGCGCCTTTTCTCCTTCTCCTTTTATGCTCAGTTCTGGTTGGGGCCCCAAAGTTTATGCCGGGGATGTTCTTGGGTTGTTTCGGTTTGGTTTTGGGTTTTATTTTTTTTTTTTTTTTTTAAAACACCTGAAAAAGCATGAAGCAGCCTTGTCAGTGTTACTGATACAGAAATCTTGTCCTGGGGTGAAACACTGCCCAGTCAGATGCTCTCCCCTTCTCCAAGGCAGGTGCACATGCACCCAAGCGCCCAGAAAAGAACCAGATTCACAGGTTAATTTATTCCTGTAACTTTCCCATCTCCTTATCCACCTCACAGATGCAAATTTCAGCAATGGTGCATATTTTGTGAGGCCAAACCACAGGTCCCTGGCTGGGAGCCTGACCCATGGATGGCAGCTGGCAGGTTTGCTGCCTGCCCCTCCAAAGCTGAAAAAACACACTTGGAGTCGGCTCCTCCACTGTGGGTCCCCTGGGAAAGGGCCAACCCGGCATGCAAAAGGTTGAGACATCGCTGAGAAAAATCTGCGGCAGCGCAGACCCCCTGCACAGGAGTGGGGAGCCTGCAAGAGGCAGATCGAGCCCTCCGCCCTGCCAGCAGCTCTGCCCTGACTCCAGCTGCAAGCTAATTTTGGCAGCACCTGCAGCCAAACATGTCCAAGCACGGACATCTCTCCCCTGGCCAGCAAACCCCCCCACCTCCTGCCCAGCACAGCCCTTCTCACTAGTTTTTAAGCTGTTACCTTGGCAGGGACCTTGCTTGGCGCGTTCCGGAAGAAAGAGGTTTTTGCTGTGAAAAAGCAATCCTCGAGGTCTTCATCCAAGCTACAGTACCCGCTGCTCATGCTGCTGCCGATGGTCATCGAAGCCCAGCAGAGGCGAGAGGCCGAGGGTGCACGGGGCTCGCCGAGGGGCTCGGGGGGCCGGTGACCATCGGTGGTCCCCGCTCCGGCTCCCGCACCAGCAGCGAGCCCGCTCTCACATCCTCAGCTCGCCGGCGCTTATCTGCAATAGCTCCTTCTGCTCATCCTCCAGAGCCAGCTGAGCTATTTCTCTTTAACAGGCAGCCGTGCCGGGTAACCCTTCCCTCTCCTCCTCCACCCGCCTCCCTGCGCAGCGGCGCTGGGGCAGCATGGAAGGGGCAGAGCTGCGAGGTTGCTCCCGCTCTCGGCGCCCGGGTTTGCTCACCGCCCGCGGTCTGGTCCCCCGGCAGCATCGCCTCCCCTTCCTGCGCTCGCCTCGCGCCGCGCAGCCCTGCCACTTCCTCTTGCAAAATTTCTCACCCCGCTGCACTCCAGGGCTGAGGCACTGGGCTTGGCCCTGGGCATTACCCAGTCCCCGGGTACCCCCGGCACCTCCTTTGCTTCCCCAAAACACGTCGCCGTGGCATGCTGGCTTCTTGCTCCCTCCCTGTTAGCGCATCCCGGAGAGCTGCGCTGCATCTGCCGGCTTAGAGAGGCAAGCCCAGGCTGGACCGAGCCCGACCAGGCTGCTGAAGGGCGGTGGGGATGGGGGGGAGGCTGGCGGGGACACGGCCTCAGACCCTCCTCAGGGGTGCCAGGAGCCCCCGGTCATCACACTCTGCTCCACAGCTAATTTTAGAGCAGCGGGAGTGATTTCAGCAGCGCTGGCACCCGGCTGAGGCACCTGCAATTGCAGCCCAGGAAAAAGGCATTCGGCTCCTAGGCTCTGTTTACCAGAAGCACTCACTCCAGACCGATTAAAACTCTGTGTTGGCCTTGGAAAGAGCCTCAGAGTGACAGCATCATCCCTACTCCCCTCTCCCCACTCAGCCCTGTGGAAACCCAGCCTGGCACAGACCCATCCCCAGAGCTGCCTCCTCCATCCCCCTCTCCCCCAGCCCCTCCACAGTTACCACCATCCCCCTAATACTCTGCATTTTCCCCAGCAGCTTTTAAAGTATCTGTGACCTTCCTCCTTGGTGAAGATCATGGGTATTTCTGGAGTTGGGCAGGGGAAGGGATCTGCTCCGCACAGGGTACCACCTTCCCTTGGCAGGGGCTCCCGTGAGGGGCTGTGCACCCGTGGGGACTAAAGAACAGCCTGACACACCATGTTAAAAAGGACTGTGCTCAGGCAATGCAGTATTAACATACATGCTAACAATTCTTTAGAAAAGGAAGAGGGAACAAGGCCTGAGAGTATTGTGCTACTGAATAAATTCATCCTATGCCCACACTTCAGATAATTCACATGAGACCTGGCCAGCCCATCCAAGAAAGAATAAAGAATTACAAGAGGTACCACAAAGGACAGGGCAGACTAGAGGTACAGGACAGTTTCCACACCTGGATCTGGAAAGGAGGGACTGGAGAGAATCTAGATGTGATGGAGAGCTACAAAATCACGGGAGGTGTTCACATGAAAACTGCGGTAAGTTTAACACCAAAAAGAGGAGTGTTTTTCCAGGCCGTGCACGATCAGATTTGCAGAACTCATCACTAGGTGTTCTGGCAGTGGATGTGCATCAGAAAGAGCTCACTGACAGCTATTAAAAAAGACAGTTCAGATGCAACCCCGAGGAGAGCCTGCAGCACTGCTCATGGGGAGGCCGCAGCCGCAGCACACCATCCTCGCCCTGACGTTCCTGGTGTCCCCCTCAACATCCACCAGCAGAGAAGGCACTGCCATGCCTAGGTGGCTGTTCTTACGTTAATTCCTTCGTGTTCTTTTCAAGGCACAACTCTCACCATCACTAAATGGTATTTTTATGCCAGGCCAGCGAGCGCGGGGAGCTGACAGGCAGCAGCCTTGGCTCTGCTCCCCACCTGGGGTATCTGCAGTAGGACCATCAGCAAACCATTCCTGTAACCCACTCCTTCAGGTCACCCAGCTCCTTCGACTGCCCCAAAAGGGCTCCAAGATCCTCACACTAACTACCATTCACGCCCGAAAACCTCTTTCCCTCTTGACAGGTTGCAGATGGCTTCCATCTGTATCTGTTAGCTGAAGGACTTAAATTGCTACAAGGCTTTGATAGCTCTACCCCACAGCCAGCAGCATCCCATGAATACAAACCGGGATGTCAACGTAAAGACTAGCAAGAGGACGCAACATCTGCATCTCAAAGAGGAAGGCAAGAATCCAAATGGCATATTTACAAAGCATCTTGTAACAGTGCAAATAAATAAGCTATCCTCTTAGCAGCACACGTACTTCTGCAGTGGCACAAACCTCCTCAGCTTCACAGGGCTATATTTAGATGAGAAAGAGGCTTAAACCGAGCATGTGCGACACGAGCAGAAAGTGAGCGTTGGGCCAATGAATGGCACAAGTGTCGAGTCTTCACTGAAGCCTCAGCCCTGAGCGTTTCACAGCAGGAACAGGGTGCAGCCAGCTTCGCAGTGCCCCGGGCAGAGCTGGACACGCTCCCACTGCATCGCTCCACGGGCTTCTCCAAGGAGCCCGCGCTTTTCCATTGTGTCCACCTGCCTGGGAGATCAGCTCCATAAAAAAAAAAAACAACAACAAAAAAACCCACAAGTAATTTTGACTCATTGGTTCAGCAGCAGCTCCAGTTAATAGTTACCTGCACAACAGCCCCCAGAGAACCCACCCACCCGTGACCTGCACCAGCTCGCAGGTGGGAAGTGCACGCCCAGCTCTGCCAAAACCACGGACCAAACTTCTGGTGCTGCTGAGACCAGCAGAAGCTTTTTCCAGCTTCAGCGGGGTCTGGATTTCACCCAGGGAGGCCAATCTGGGACCCAAACATAATGCAACTCAAGTACTTTGCTGTATCAAAGCCCAAATTATTAATGTCTGGTATTACATGGTAACAGTACTGAACCCTGTGATATTAAATTAGCTATTTCTCTGATGCTTCTAGTTTTCTTACATTTGATACTACTATTTAATGACTTCCAACTATGCCAGCTATTAATATTAAAGTTTCTTGTGTTTTCAGTGCACAACCCCCTTTTCCCCTCCTCAGTGTATTCAGGCACCCTATTACTCTCTTTTTGGAATACTGACACTGTTTTCCCTCCGTCCTTCTTCTTTCAAGCAGCAAAACCCGCTTGGCCAACAGAAAACACACCAGGAACCTGGCTGTGTACTCAGCTTTATGGGCTCAGATCAAGTAAACTTGAAGATGATTTTTCCCCTGATTATCCATGATCCACAAACAGGAACGGAGCTTTATCACAGTGATATACCCTGGTTTAACCTCAAACCAGCCCACGCATGTCCCGGTCCCGCAGCCGTGCAGCCTCGTACAGGTAACGAGACTTCAGACAGCGCTTTGCTGTGCGGAGGGTTCGGAGCTGCAATCCCCAACCAGGACCTCAGGATGGGTTTGTGGATTTCTGTTTGCTGCTGTAATTAGCGAGACTTTTGTTTCCTTGGCACAAAACGCCTCCCCCCTTCCCGGGATCACACCGGAGACGTGTCAGAGTGATGAATTGCCACGAAGCGCAGGCTCTGTGTTTATTATTAGGACCATCAATAACCCCTGGCTGGTGTTATCACCCTGAAGAAGAAACAAGCTTCCCTAATTTTTCCGAAAATCAAGCTTTTCTCATGCTCCTGGGGGAAGACCAACAACATCGAAAGGAGATGTAAACACACACAAATCTAGCTGATACAAATACCTCCCGGCTCAGCGGAGAATCCGGAGTCCCTTTGCAGTGCATAACTTACAATATAAATCCCAACTAACTTCAGGTTCCCTCCTGACCATCTTCCTCTGAGCAGCAATCGCCCAGCCACATCCTGATAAGGCCAAGCTTGGCTTTTGCACAGCAAAGAGCAGATGACAACAAAACCCCAGCACCAGCTCCTCACATGCCCAACAGAAACCCCACGTTGTCCTTGACAAAGCGCACGTTTCCATTTCCAGTTTCGCACAAGTGCGTCAAGGTCCTCCACAAAGAGAGAATACAGATTTAAAAAAAGCATACAGAGATTGAAAAGGCTCTGTGCAAGTCAAATCCGCTTCAGGCAGGTTTCTAAGCAATGTTTTAAGCTTGCAGCATTAAGCATTTTGCATCTCAACTTGCGTGGCATCGCACAGTCTCAGTGTGCCCTGTCTGTGCTGCAGCCAGCTCCAGCAGACACCCGTGGACCCTGGGGGGGATTAAGCAAAGAGCTAAACCTTCCAGAGCAGCCCTGGGGATCACTGCACATCCCTAATACAGACTGAAGAGTCTCAATCCCGCGGGACTACCGAAACTCTTAAAACAAAGGTCTTAAACTGGAGTTCCTTGCAAAAAAAAAAAAAAAAAAAAAATCCATGCTCACACTCTGCCAAGATGCAGGAGAAATGCAGCTTTTCTGCTCCTTTCCAAGCACTTTGCACCGGCGCAGGGATGTGATGTAATGCCAGGATCGACCCTCCCTCGCCGGCAGCTGGACACCGCTCCTCTCCCGCTCTGCTCCAGCCAGCCTGGCCGACAGCAGCGTTTTAAACACGACCTGGCTCCACACACACGTTTATGGCGAGGGGGGATGCCCACCTGCACGACCTCCACCACGCCGGGCAAGATGCTCACGGTATATAGCGGCCATTCACTAGTGAGCGCTGCCCGGGAGTGCAGGACCGATGGGCTGACAAGACCTCCCTCCCGTAAAACCCTTTGGCAGCAAGAAATCAGGTCTTTGAAGGGCCCCCATAAGGATGCCACCCCCTGACCCCCACCCCCAGCCCCCCTCCCCGGCGTACCTGGCTGCAGGGTGGCAGGAGGGTGCTCTCGGGCGAGAGCTGGCTCTGGCTCTGGCCCGGCCGGCGGCAGTCCAGCTGGATGAGGCTGCGGCACTCCTGGTGACACGTGTATCTGCAGTCTGCACAGGGGAGAAACGAGAAAGTGAGGTGCCCGAGCCCCGCAGCCTGCTGTCGGGGTGCTGCGGGGGAACCCCGGGAAGGGATCGGACTCTACCGGAGGGCAGAGCAACGCTTGCGGGCACCGGCACGGCCAGAGCTGCCGGCCAGGCACACACCCATGCAGGCACCCTCCTGCTGACAGGGAGGGGTACCACAAGACCTCACCCAGAGCAAAAATTGCTCCCGTGCCCTGTCCCCAGGGAAACCTGTGTTTCTTGCTGCAGTGCTGCGGCACGGGCAGTGCTCCTGCTTTGTGTCCTGCTGCCTTTCGCCCGATCTGCTGGCACGTTAATATACAACGCAAAGAATATGCTCAAGCCCCGCCAAACCCTGGGGTACACCACTCCCCAGCTGTGCTCCTTGGAGACGTCACCTGCGTCATGCCTGCAGCAAAAGCTTGGCCACCTC